CAGCCCAGCGTGGTTCACTGCGCACTGGGTTGTCCAGTTCGCGATAGGTGCGTTCCACGCTATTACGTTCCTACTCCCTCTACGTCACAACCGCAGACATTCCCCCGCGTTTCTGCCTTTTCTTGCGGTGCACTGACTCCCTACGTGTTGACAGCGGGCCCCGTTATTATCACTGGCGTTGCTCTTGGCATACACGCTGTTGAGCTCGCGCAGTCCGGTGGCACAAACGACGTCCACAAGAGGTGGGGCATCGCCATCTTCGTGCTGTACCTCGCGCAGCTGGCCCTGGGAGCGACCATCCACTACTACAAGCCCCGCGCGTGGGCCAAGGGTGCAGGCCGCCGTCCATTCCAGAATTACTTCCATGCCGCCTTCGGACTGTTGCTCATCGCCTTCGCGATGTTTCAGGTGAGTGCACCTACACGTCGCATTCGCTGCTGCGCAGCACCAGATTTAGTGGTGTCCGCGGCTTCTTCCATTCTTCGATCTGTCAGGGTGGGATGTGGTTGCTGATTTGTCGCGTACCTCCACCAGGTCCGCACGGGCTTCCGCTCGGAATGGCCTGCGCAAACTGGACGGGGCCCCATTTCGAACGGCGCCAACGTCTTCTGGTATGTTTGGATCATCGTGAGTACCTTCAAGTTGAACAATTGGACGACGCGGTGCTCATCGGAGTGTCATTCAGCTTCTCGCACTGGCTTACTTCGGTGGGCTTGCCCTGCTCTTCCGTCAGTTCAGGCAGGAGAGGGAAGTCCGGCAAAACCAGCCCTGGACAGAGATGAAGCGGCCTATCGTACACGAAGGGCAGCCGTCCGCGGCAACGGATTCGTAGACTGTTTGAGAGCTGATAGACCATATAATGTTGTTTTCGTGGAGTAGCAGCTATAGCATGGTTTCAGAGTGTATGATCCACCGTGTTCTACGAATAGCACGATGACGTGAACGACAATTCACAATATCTTACTTCTTCGAAGAAGGAGTACCGTCACAACGGCGCAACGATGTTTACCTCATAACCCCGGGCCTACATGGCTATCGTTCCAACTAGGATGTCACCATGATGCGTATTGAGCGACACCCTGATAGTTGCGTGCCGAAGGAACTGTTCCTGGTTACACCGAGCTCAACAATGGTGCGATCGCCAGCAGGCAACGGTCACCGGTAGTCGGGTAGTAGCAAGCAGCCAGTGTCCGTTTCGAATCGCACTCACTAATAAAGTGCACTGATGGTACGTACAGGTTCTCAGGCTTTCCATCTTCTTGCCTTCGGGCCGGGCGTGGATCGCACCGGGCCGAGCTGTGGGGCAAGCGACGTCTTCGCTGCGCGGCAGTGGACTTGCACCGCGTCCTGCGGCTCTGCCAGCTGCGCACCCGTCAGCAATTCATGCTCCTGTACTGCACGGTTCCTCCCTAGCTAGCTTTGACGCGACTCGCCAGACTTGTGTGCTTGATTTACACTGGGTCGAAGCAATCCCATGACAGCGCCGCCAGCAGGCTCACCGACACCATGGTCCTACCTGTTCATCCGGTATGCAACCGTTCGTCCACGACGAGGACAACAGCTTACGAAGGGGCGCATGCGTAGATGGTTGTTCAAGTTCGTGCTGAAGATATTCTACGGCACCATAGTCGTGGAAAACGTTGACTATATACCGCCGCGGGGCAGACCATGGTGAGTTCCCAGCCTCACGCTGTGATGGACGCGTCGCTGACCGGCACGACAGCATAGTCTGTGCTAACCATAGCAACTCACTCACGGACGCATTGTGAGTGCTCCCTTACGCGTTGGTGTGTATGTCACGCATGAACGCTTCCGAACAGACTTCTTGTCACTTCCATTCCATCGAGGGTTCGCCGTTCGGCTCCTTAGGTGCATACAAGCTCTCACTTCGCCCGTTACAGAAGCGCAACCTCCTCAGATTGACTGCAAAATCCACCCAGTTCGGAAGGAAGAACTTCACGAGCTGGCTCATCGAGTCTGCCGGAACGGTGCCAATCAAAAGGCGCAGGGACTTTGGGGACGGACAGGTGGATAACTCTGATGCCATGCAGCATCTCATGGAGGTGAGTTACGTTGTCTTCATTCGCCCTTCATAACATACGTGAGTCTCGGGATGGTTGCAACGGTATGAAGAATGCCGTCGCGAGAAGCGCACCTGCAGCATCTCAATAGTTGGGATGAGAGGAGCTTAGCATTGCTGTGGCAGTGGCTTAACGTGCCGGTACTCTGAACTCGCTCTGCTCTCGTCAATATGCCGACGAGGTATCGCAAGGTCTGACTAAGTTTGTAGGCACTGGAGCTTGGGGATGCTGTGTGCCTCTTCCCAGAAGGGATGAGCAGGTACCATCCTACCATTGCCCCACTGAAGACCGGAGGTACGTGAACGAAGGTGTTCCATAAATTGATCTCACCATTCACACTCTGTCTTCTTAGTTGCAAGGCTCGTCTCCGATATGCTGTCCCGCAACCGCCACAACCCGGACTTCGAGATTGATGTCCTGACCTGTTCAATCACGTACATGTGCGTCGCTCAAAGCAACTTCTTGATTACACATGTACTCACACTACTGCAGGCACCGGCAGCACTTCCGTTCGGACGTGCTAGTCACCTTCCATCCTCCCATGAAATTCACTCCGAAGGTCATATACTCTGTTATAACGCAACAATACCATGCTGATGATATAACAGGACAATCCTGAGCTCCTGACGCCGATTAACTACACGGAGATTAGGTCCTTGACGGCCAAGATGCACCAGCAGATCAGTTCAGGGACGTTGGATGCACCCTCGTGGAGGCTCATCCGCATAGCCAAGCTTGCCGCGAGAATGTACGCGCCGCTTGGTACGACCATGTCTCTAGGCGACTACGTCCGTGTCGTCCGCACGTTCCTCGAGGCGTTCAAGTGGGCGGAAGCGCCACGGAACGAGACGTCCAGCGACGGCGAGGCGCCTCCGGCCGAGCAAGTTGCTCGCGAGGACATGAAGATCGTCCAGCTTGGGCGCGACTTGAAGGTACGGCACCATGCCGACGAGCAACGCTGCAGAGTATTGATACTTTGTCCCAGGAGTACCAAGATCAGCTGTCGCGTTGGGGCATCAAAGACGATCGCGTCCGCCGCCCTCTCACTCGCCCAACCATCCTCTACCGGATATGTCTGCGAGCCGCCTGGTCGCTCATCCTCCTGACCATCTCCCTGCCCGGCCTCATCCTCTGGCTTCCTGTCTTCATCACCACCTTCATTGCCGTGCACCAATTCAAGCGCACCGGTCCAGTCTGGGACACATACGACGAGATCGCGCAGTACAAACTGACTTACGGGCTGATCTCCAGCCTCTGCATCTGGTTCTTCTCCATGCTCGTCACGCTCCCGATCGCACCGCTCACCGCCGTCCTCGTGCCCGTCGCGATGTGGATGAGCCTGCGGTGGATGGAGGACGCAGTGTCGGCGTTCCGCGCCCTGACGTCCCTCACGCGGCTCCTCTGGATCGGGAAGCCCGCGCTGCGACAAATGCGGGAGAAGCGGGAGGACCTGCACCGTCGCGTCATGGAGCTCGCTGTGGGCACGCTCGGCCTGCCGGAGGAGCCCGAGAAGTACTTCGCGGATAGTGGCGGGAAGGAGAAGGGCCGCGTACTCGGGCGGTGGGCGAGCAAGGCCAAGTACTTCTCCGTGCGCAGGCGGAGAAAGCGCGACTGGAACGAGACGCTGCGCCTGTACGACGTGGACTACCCGGACGACGACTACTGAAGTTCCAAGGTATATATATATATTCGATCTACGTGATGCTGATGACGATGAGAGCTGGGTAAATGTGTACATAGAGAGAGCGGAACGGACAGGCATGGGGGTAACTGGAGATACAACGCAAACCAGATGGACGTATCACGATAGTCTATTCAGCAGCAGAGCAGGCTCACCCATCGATCGGACGGTATGCACGGTTACCTGCTGCCCACCGATGGCCCCTGTTGGCGGATATACCGGTGGTAACCACACCAGCCGTGACCAAGAGGCCCAGCACCCAGGAAATAGTGTTCAGAACATACGCGAGACCTGCAGGATGCGAGTCAGCCCATGTTGTGAAGTGTTGGCTGGCGCAACTCACCAGGGCGGGCATGATTGAACGTAGGGAAAGCCTCAGTGCGGTACAAGTCCGTCACAACGGCGAATGCGGTAATTTGAGACAGGACTGTCACAACGAGCTGAGTTGCACGAAGAAACAAGGGACATCTTGAACACTCACCATGCAACGCAACCAAGACCGACGCCGACTTCCAGATCCGCCGCCTCCGCGAGTGCGTCGTCACGCCGAACAGGATCGCCAGGCAAGCAACGATCGCGAACCCGATGCCGAGCTCCCCAAAGTAGCCCGCAGTGCTCCAGATCATGCAGAACTTCTTGTTGCCCTTCTCGCAGCCATCCGCAGCCCGCAACGGGAACGCGCGGCACTCGTAGCTGGTGTACGTGTTCTTGGAGCCGCTCGGGCTCGGGAGCTGGATCACGCGAGTCTCGCAGCGGCGGTTGAGGCCATATTCGACGACAACCTTGTCGTGGATGATGTCCGGGTCGCTCACGACGAGCCTGGGAGTGGGTTGTGAGCACGTTACCTGAGTTGGAGCGAGGGCCGGGAGACAGACCAGTCGGGGCGCTGGACGGAGAGGATGTTCTGTGGGGGCAGGGTTTCAGCTTGTGTCCCAGGGCCAATGCGCGAAGACGGAGCTGCTGCTCACCAGAACCAACGTCGCGGCGACGGCGAAGAACGCGATCACATAGGATGACTTCCTCATGGTTGGGGATGGGCCTCGAGATGGTTACCAGCAGGCGGGCTAGATATGTGGTGGAGAGGTGGGACGCGAGGCCTGCATCCGCGACTCGCAGTATTCGCGCTCGGCCGCTGGGCCAGAGCGCATCCGCGCTGTTTGGCCTTGGTTGAGGTCAGCAAGTGACGTAGGGTCGCGCGCTCTTTACTACATATAAAGTATTACATGTTGCAGTTTAATGTCCTTGTCGATTAGTGGTTAGATCATCACGTTGTGGCACTACCACGTGATGGTGGGAACTAGGAGACCGTGAAGACGGAGGCTCGAATCCTCCCTGGGACACTTTTGTGTAGTATGGTAACGTTTTTTGTTCAATGTCCTGGCGGGCCAGCCCGACCGTAGGCATTGTTTAGCAAGAATTGCGCGCGATTCACCAGTCTGTGCGAATGAGTGGAGGCCGAGAGAGCATCCATGGGGTACTTAGGGCCGGTTAGCGCTGGGACGTACCTGGTAATCACTGCAACGGACGCATCCTTTCCGCCCTGCTGAAATCCTGGCAAAATGGTAATGTTGCTTGATTCCGCCAGGTGGAATATGTTACGTTTACGAGACGATAAGCCTCCAAGGAAAGTCTCGTTTAGGGAGGTTTGGAAGGCTTATAGACCTATTGTGGCAAGCGTAAGGGGGTTACGTGCAATGTTTTAGAGATAGCAAAACTCTTACTTTCAGCAATCCATCATTACCGAGTTTAGTTAACCCTCCGGCAAAGCGGCCCGACGGACTAATTTGGTAAAGCAGCGTGCTCTGCACAAGTTTTTTGCTTTCGATCGACCAAGGCCTGCCCATCGTCGAGGACGGCGAGGACGACTTGCACGACCTGCAAAGATGGCCGAAAACGTCGAATCAGTGCTCTCGAAAATCCGCCCTCACACGTCTTCCTCCCTCGCGCACCAAAAGGCCCCTGCAACCCTTCTCCGTGCGATCGAGGCCACTTTCCGCGAACAGAACACGGAGCCCTCAGCGACTGCATACTTCGCCGCACTGATCACTACTCTCGATGGCGCTCTTCAGTCTTCGCGGGCATCCGGGCCTGCCCTCGGAGAGGGAGATGTGCTCCCTGCTGTGCTCTACCTTCTCGCTGCGGTCGCGCCCTATGTTCCCCCTCCAGTGATCCGCTCCCATCTCTCTACCATCCTCTCCTTGACCTCCCCGCTCTTCCCTACTCTTTCTGCACATGCTCCACCCTTGCGCTCGCAGCTCACACTCTATGGCACCGTCCTGACTGCGCTCGAGCGCCCTCAACTCGAAACTCAGGGCCTCCGGCAGGCATTTATGACGATCGTCCAACTCACCCTTGATCCGCGTCCGAAGGTGCGCAGGAAGGCGGCGGAGGTTATGAAGGATGTCCTCTCGGCGCCCCCTCGCCCACTCATCAAGCACCCGTATGCGGAGAAGGTCGCGGAATGGGTAAAGGCTGCGCTCGCGGAAGTGAGTGCAGGTGGTGTCCCGAAGTTCAAGGGCAAGAAGGCCGAGTCGGAGGGCTCGGAGGCAGCCATCCATCTCCTTGCATTCGTGCGTCCGGTACTACCTACATTGCCCGCTGAGGTACGTGTCAATAATCACATCCATCTATCGAGCTCCTCTTGCATACCCTCTCACTCCGTCTTTCTCGGAGTGCTGGGATCTAAGTCCCCGTGCATCAGCTTTTGTCGCCTGAGACCAGCAAGGGGAGGGGAGGACTCTTGTCATGTTCGGGACGACTGACCTCCGTTTGTGCAGTCGCTTTCCTCAATAACATCATCGCTCCTCCTGCTCCCGCGTCTGGGAAACCCGTACCTCTCCCAGTCAGCGTACTCTATCCTGTCTGACCTGCTAGCGCTCTCAATGGACGATCCTACCGTGAACATCCAGTCCCACATGTCTGACATGTTGAAGGTTGTCCTCTCTTCCCCGCCCTTACGGAGCGACTCTGCCCTCACGGCAGCATGGGCCGGCGTGCTTGGCAACACCATGCTTGCGTACCACCAGCACAACGCGGATGAGTGTGCGGCGGAGGTCGGCAAGGTGTGGAAGGCAATATGGAACCTGCTTGATTCCCAGGACGCTGCGACGCGCAAGGCCGCGGCGGAGGCCCTGTCCACGTTGGGCCAGTGCTTCACACCCGCCCTCATCGCCGCTGCAATAAAGGAGAAGGACTCCGCGGAACGGAAGTCGGTACTGGGCAAGATCGTCTCCCAGACTACGGATGCTCTTGACTCTCTCGCCTATGCCCGGGCCATATCAGACATCTTGTCTGTCGCGTCCTCGCTGATAGAGAACTTGCGATACCGAGGTGGTTCAAGGAAAAACCCCACTGCCGCGGAGCAGCTCTTGCAGCCTCTGGTGACGAAGATTGCGGACCTGAGAATACAGAAGACTTTCGAACACAAGGAAGCAGCCGATGCGACACTCGGTACCGCCATGCGTATTCTTGGACCCGAAGTCTTGCTCCGCTGGCTGCCTCTCAATTTGGAAACGGTGGACAGGTATGTATCTCTTCCAGTTGCTGTGCGCTTCCTGACCGGTAACTGACATTGCGCAGGCAAGCAGGTCGTGAGCCTCGCGCGTTCCTACTTCCACTGCTGGCGCAGCCACATCCTTCCCCCCTCGGTCACTTCTTGTCTTACTTCGTTCCGCTCACCGAGCGGATGTTTGAGCTTCAAGCGGCGGCCGAGGCAGAAGGCCGCCAGTCGGAGGCGAAGGTCTGGAGTGTACTCATCGAGCAAATATGGGTCGGGCTACCAGGATATTGTTGGGCCCCGCAGACCTCAAAGAGGTACGCCTAACTCCTGGAAAATCGTGCTCGTCCATATGCTCATCATGAACACGAACACCCAGTCCCTTACCACGCAGTTCTCGCAACTGCTCTCCCAGCTGCTTTACAATCAGCCAGAGTTGCGTCCCGCCGTACTTCGTGCACTGAAGATCATGGTGGACTCGAATGTCGCACTTGCGAGCGAAGACCCTGACAAGATCGCGAAGCTGCCGGCGAGCGTTCGCGCGGACCCGATTTCAACGGAGGAGGCGCAGGCCAACGTAGCTTTCCTTCGGACGCAGGCCGAGAGCTGGCTCGCTGTACTCTTCAATGTGTTCGGCAGCGTCGGACGAGACAGCCAGGGCATGGTCGGCGATGTTGTCAGTGCGTGGATCGCCATCGCTGACGCGAAGGTATGCATTACCCCGCCCCAGTGAACTGACGCTTGGACGCTCACGGTATCCTGCAGGAGGTTGCGCAAGCATATCGCAAGCTCATCACGCTGTTCAAACAGAGCCTCGCAAAAGCGCAGTCTGCTCCTGTCAAGGGGCTTGCATCCGACCCCATGACGGTTGTGACCCAGGATCTGCTCCTGCTCGTCCTCCCGTATCTCTCTGCCGAGGATGCGACTGCCCTCCTGAACATGTACCTTGTCAGTGATGTCCTTGAGAGCAGGGACAACGGTGTACAAAAGCGGGGTTACAAGATCCTTGCGCGTCTCGTCGAGAGCGGGAAGGTCGAAGTAGACGCGGCTGCGGTACTGAAGAAGCTGGAAGGATTGGTCGATGGTCTTGCCGCTGCTGCCAAGAAGGACCGTTTCCACCTGTTTGCTGCCCTCGTGCCCGTCATCCCCAAGGACTCCCTCCATCTCATCCCTTCTATCATCCCCGAGGCCGTCTTGGGAACCAAGGAGCCGTCGGAGAAAGCGCGCAATGCCGCGTTTGATCTCATAGTGGCCATGGGCAAGAAGATGTCCGAAGGAGGCGTTGTGAAGCGTCAAAACATCGAGGGCATGGACGAAGATGGTGCTGGAGATGGTATGTTTCCTGGTTCTCGCTCACCTCGTCTATACTGACTGTTGTGAGCAGCCACGGCCAACATTGAGGAATACATGACGATGGTGGCGGGTGGCTTGGCCGGTGCATCCCCGCACATGATCAGCGCGACAGTCACCGCTATCTCCCGTCTTGTCTTCGAGTTCAGAGGTCCGTTCACTCCTTCGACTTCGTATACCCGCATCTCACCGAACTCTCGCAGATACTATCTCGAGCAACATGCTGTCAGAAATCTTCACGACTCTCCTCGTCTTCGTTACCTCCGCCAATCGCGAGATCGTGAAGTCCGTCCTGGGCTTCATCAAGCTCGCCATTCATACCATGCCTGCGGAGCTCATGCGCCCGCATCTCAAGGAGCTCGTCCCGGCGCTGCTCCGGTGGTCACACGATCACAAGAACCACTTCAAGGCCAAGGTCCGCCACATCTTCGAGCGCATGATCAGAAGGTTTGGCTGGGAAGACGTCTATGGATGCGCCCAGGAAGAGGAGGCGCGCAAGGTTCTGCTGAACATCAAGAAGCGCAAGGACAGGGCCAAGCGGAAGCGCGCCAACGCAGTAGAGGACGACGACGAGGTACCGAAGGCGAAGCCCGTCGCGGGAGATGCCTTTGAGGACGTGCTGTACGGAAGCGAGAGCGAGCTTGAGGATAGCGACGAGGAGGACGGTCCGTCTCAGAACGCCGCTGCCTCGAAACGCAAAGGCAAGGACGCAGGTGCCCGGCTGCGTGTGGACGATGACGAGCCTATGGACCTGCTTTCTGGCGCTGCGTCGCGCGTCACGAGTGAGTGCACTTGCGGCATCTCCTCCGCTTAGTCTGGTGCTGATAAGCTTTTGCTACAGCTGCGAACGCCAGGCGCAAGAAGCCGGGACAGGATGCTGCAAAGTTCAAGACAGATGATGACACTGGCAAGATAGTCATCGAGTCTGACTCGGACGAAGAGGCCGCTGCAGGGGAGGAGAATGTCGAGGGTGACGCCTACCGGGAGAGCCTGACGTCGGTGGACGGGTTCACCCGCGGTCCCAACGGGAGGATAAAGTTCAACAAGGACACGAAGAAGCGGCGGCGGGAGAACGAGGAAGCAGATATGGATGTCGATATGGCGGACGCGTCCGCGCAGAAGGCCAACAAGAAGACGAAGAGGAAGGCAGAGCCGAAGTTCGGCCAGGAGTTCAAGGCCAAGGTGAGTCGCTTACTTCTCTTCACAGCCCTGCCAGCTGATGGCTCACTCATTCAACAGAAGGCCGGTGGAGATGTCAAAAAGGGCGGCGTGGATCCCTACGCCTACATGTCCCTCTCGCAGGCCGCGAAGAAGCAGAATCGCGGCGGCCGGATCGGTATCGCAGGCAAGCGCTGAGTGTTGTATCGTTGCTCTATATCTGTACGCCGTGTATTCTCATAGACTTTGGATTGACCCCGTGCTTGGTTGTCCTCGTGAGGTGAACTAGCCTCGCCCATGAGATATATAGCGGCCGCCTGCGCCTCAACCACGATC